CGTGAATGGTCGCGCCGCGAAGCCGAGGCCTACCACACCATCTTCCGGTACCTGTCCCCCCATATCAGCATTCATGTCGCGGGACTCGAGACATCCCGGGACCTCTGGAATGAACTCGAAGAACGGTACCGGCGGATGGAACTCGCCACATTTTGCGAGCTGTTCGCCCAGCTTCGCGAAACCACTGGCGAGCGCTGCGGCAGCGCGCGCGAATTTGTTGATCGAGTACGATTGCTCGTACATCGATTGAATGCTATCGTGCCGGGATCCATTGGCGATCGAACGCACATTGCGATCTTATTGACGCAGATCGGACCGGAATACATTTTAGTTGTGGATGCGATCCAGAATGACAAGGATCCGGTGAATCCGACCACGATCGGAAATCGCCTGTCTAATGCTGAGCAGACGGTTCGGAGAAAAGAAGCTCCAACACCCTTGCAGGCAGCATCTGGCCCGTCCGTCAATACGGTGCAGCAGTCTGCCAAGAAATGCAACTATTGCAAGAAGCGCGGCCATGTGGTCGCGCAGTGCTGGAAGAAACAGCGAGAAAGACAGTCGTCTAGGGACCATGCCCTGAAGACTGAACGGAGTGTTTCCGGCTCACCAAGAAATGATTTACAAAATATACCATCAAGCCAGAGAGAAGATCGGCGGGGCCCGCCGGCTTCCAAGAGACCGAGGATCAATATCGTGAGGGCGAGGGTGACGACCCTTTATACCCACGCACCGCAACCCCGGTGGATCCTGGACTCGGCCGCCACCAGCCACATCTGCTGGGATCGGAACTGCTTCAGCAGTTTGCGGCCCCACTGCGAGATGCTGGACACGGCGGGCGATCCAGTGGAAGCCGAAGGGATTGGTACGGTGAAGCTCACGCTCCGGGGGAAGTTCAACCAACCCCTGGTGTTAAAGAATGTATACTTCGCGCCACGCGTCGGGATGAACCTGATCAGCGTGCCGAAGCTGTTACGAGACCGCTACTCGGTGGTGGCGCACCCACAGAATGTCTTTGTGCAACGCCGAGGACGGACCGTGGGGAGCGCCTACCATGCGGAGGAGGATCTGCTGATTCTGCGGTGCCATGTGAGCAGAAGATCTCGAGAGCGAGTCCAACTGGCGAGAGCGCCGGCGACCCATGGCCATGCAGATTCCCTGGAACCGCAGGCGGTGGCCATGGACGTCGACGACCCTCAGGAGTCAAGTGACGCAGAATGCGCAACGTCAACCTCTGAACTCGGTGGTGAAGCTGCGATACTCGATGAAGATGCGTGCAAAGGAGTGGACCAGGCCTCCGAAGCGTTGTGGCACGCTCGGATGGGACATCTGAACCGGGGCGACTTAAGGGCGGTCCTCTGGCAGACCGGCACTCCGTACCGACCGCTGACGCAGGCGCAGCTGCTGGCAACGCCGCAGTGCCCAGCGTGTATGTCGGGTAAGCAGCATCAGAAGAGGAACTCCCGCGCAAGACGGCCACGTCTGCATTCAACGAGAATTTTCGAATTGATCCACTCGGACATCATGGAGATGCCGATTGCCAAAGATAACTCCAGGTACGTGATCACCTTTACTGACGATTATTCTCGTGGCTCGTGGGCATATGCCATGAGATGGAAGCATGAAGCACTCCAGAAGTTCCGACATTTTGAGGCCTGGGTGCACCGACAGTTCGGCGCCCAGATCAAGAGGTTCCTCACCGACAACGGGAGAGAATACCTGCCGATCGGAACACACCTCGAAATCCAGGAAGTTGAGTTTGACACCTCGCCGCCATACTGCAAGGGACAGAATGGACTGGCGGAACGCACGAATCGTACTATCCGGGAGGGGATTAACATGCTCCTGTCTGATGCGAACCTTCCTCCTTCCTGGTGGACCGACCTTGTGGACACGGTGGTCTATCTGAAGCTGCGCGCTCCAGCATCGATTTTACAGAAGAAGACACCGTTTGAAATACTATACGGAAAGCCGCCCTCGCTGTCGCATCTGCGACGCATTGGCTCCCGTGCCTGGGTATTGATCCCGAAAGAGCATCGAGCGAAACTCGGACCCCGGTCATCCGAATGCCGATTGCTGGGGTACTCTGAACCGAACCAGTACAAGCTGTATGAAAACCATTCAGGGAAGACAGTCTTTTCCCGTGATGTCGAGTTCGATGAGAGGACCCCAGTGGCGCCACTCATCGAGGTGGAAACAGGCAACGACCTCCCGGACAATGCTCCTCCATCAACTGTCTTTCCACCACTACCCTCATCAGCTAGCGGGCTGCCAACACCACCTCTATCGCCGAATTCCTCAAACGAGGAAGAGAAAACGCCATCTGGGCGTGTGGAAGAAACACCGTCCGTGGTCAACCCAAGCCAACAGGAAGCCGGCCTAACACCGGACCTGGGGTATTCGATCTATGGTCGTAGAAGGCGACCCTCACGCCGACTGTTGGAATCTCTCGACAAGGTGTATGCAGCAGGTACGCTGAATCCCACAGCGAAGAGTGTTGACCCATCCACGTTTCAAGAAGCCGTATCCGGCCCGAATCAACTACAATGGTGGGCCGCCATCCAGAAAGAATACGTGTCTCTTCTCGAGCACGGAACATGGGAAAAGGTTCTGCGAGAAAACGTACCAGCCGGAGATCATGTGATTGGCTGCAAATGGGTCTTCAAGACCAAAGCCAACGGAACGCGCAAAGCGCGGCTGGTCATCAAAGGCTACCGGCAGAAACATGGTATCGACTATCACGAAACGTTTGCTGCCGTATCTCGAATGGACTCGATGCGCTGCGTTGTCGCCAGCGCAGTGTTGCGCGGATGGAAACTCCACCAATTCGATGCTGTCACTGCATTCCTCCATGGCGACGTCGACTCATCTATTTACATGGAGTTGCCCGAGGGCTTTGAGGAGCCAGGGTACGTGTGCCGGCTGCGCCGCTCGCTATACGGGCTGAAGCAGGCCCCGCGGATTTGGTACCAATGCGTCCACCGCGTCCTGGCCGCTCATGGCTTCACCATGGCACAATCGGACAACTGCGTGTTCTACGAATCCGATTGCGTGATCTGTGTCTATGTCGATGACTTTCTCATTGCGGCAGCAAACTCGCAGGAAATCAAACAAGTGCAACGAGCATTGGAAACAGAATTCCGACTGAATGATCTTGGAACCCCACGTTCATTCCTCGGAATCCAATTCGACTACCATGCCGACGGAGGCGTTTCCATTCACCAACACCAGTACATCCAAAAGGTTCTCTCTGACTTTGGCATGGAAACCTGTCAGGCGAAGACTACCCCGATGAATCCCAAGCAAGTCTCGAATCATCGTCTAGATGAAGCACCTCCAGATGAGGAAGCAAAAGCACGATTCGCAACAGCCATCGGTTCGTTGATGTATCTGATGGTTTGAACGCGACCAGATATTGCGTTTCCGCTGGGCATATTGAGTCGCTTCACGTCTCAGCCGCAATCGCACCACCAGGTCGCCCTGCAGCGACTGCTTCGCTATGTCAAAGCCACACAATACCATGGCATCACATACCGCAGTGGTCAATTAATTGGATATACGGATGCCGACTTCGGTGGCTCCGTCGTCACTGATGGAGCCTACTCGACGTCCGGCTATGTATTCCAACTTGCGGGTGCGCCGGTTTGCTGGTCATCCAAGAGACAAGGGGAAGTAGCCACATCTACGACCCATGCCGAGTACATTGGACAATACAATGTCATTTTGCATCTACAGTGGCTCCGCATCTTCCTGGCCGAAACACAACTGTATCGGTCCCCGGTCACCAACATCATGGCCGACAACCAGTCCGCCATTGCGCTATCTCGTAATCCCGAATTCCATAAACGGACGAAGCACTTTAACGTGAAATTTCACTATCAGCGAGCCGTGCTGAATACAGGTGAGATTGGGCTTCAATATGTTCCGACTGAGGAACAGGCCGCAGATGGTCTCACCAAGCCATTGGGGCCTACAGCCTTTGCCAAGGGTTGTAGTCTCTTAGGAGTCGACGCCTCGGAGATTTCAAGGCAACATGCGTGACAGCGCAGGCGCTCTTCCCACTTTATTTTCCCACGAAGGTTTTTAAGTGGTTTTACCGAGGCCTGACTGGTCTGCGCAATTCCAGTATCGCCCTGCCAGCAAAGCGATCCTGAGGGGGAATGTTGTGATATGAAGCTGGTGCAGATCAGGAACCAAGCCGCGCCGCCGGAATTAACTCCGAGGTGTCTATACGGACAACCAAGTTGATTGGAAATCAACTTGGCCCATTGTTGTAATATAGGCTCATGTATCCCTCTGAGATAACAAGCAATTAATACCTCTGAACTACAACAAGGTTACTTGCCACAAGATTTTTCACCGAGACAATGGGCTGTTCCTCCAATGGTATGAAGCTGTCAGTGGTATGCGTGTTTTGGGGACACACGACTGGCAAAAATAATCAGATCCGGCGTGATGCTGAGTCGGTGAAGGATCATTGGCTGGCAATCAACCCCTCCACGGCCTTCTAAATTGAGGCCTTGTGGTGCACTAGCTATTCAATCACCCATGACATTAAATCAACTATCACTTGAATCACCAAACCTTGCCTACGATTCAAACTTGGCTCATCTTCTGGATCTTGGACTACCCGACAGTCTCTTACCAGGCCGGTCAATTGGGAAGGCGAAGTGGGATGGTCCACTTTGATCAATAAAATAAATTCGGTGAGTCATCATGCTCGAGAGACTTTTATAGACTGAGCCATACTTTGCCGAGGTTGCTGTCATTTTCCACCAATGTCCCACCAGGCCTGATTTCGACCTCGCGTTTGACGAGTCATATTACAACAGTTTCGACCTTAATTTTCCAAGGCGCTTGGATCAATCATAAGTTATATCCCAAATATGTTTATCTTCTGCAGCAGTTGACAGAAAGCCCCGACAGTTTTCTGGGTAAATCTTGAAGAGTTTAGATGGCGTTGAAAATTATATATGCGATAGGATTTTGAAAAGCTCTTGGTTCTATTTAGAGGCCTTCTTCAGAAAGGGAAAGTTCATAATGGGAAGCACCAGCCCCACATAGGCAATAATGCGGTACACGACTCCAATTGTGATAAGGACACTGTGTAGAATGAGCATCAACCTCTTGACCAAAAATGGGGTTAGAGAATTGGTGAAGGCACGCACCCGAGATCGAAAGAAGTCCTCCTAGTCACATATCCGGTGTAGCTTGCAGCCGCATCCACGTCATACAGTTGCGCGAATGGTATCGTGTGTTCACTGAAAAAAGCCTCAGAGTACCAGGTCTGTCCTTTTTACGTTAGTCACGTACCACAGACAAGTTGTTAGAAAGGAGTTGTAAGTGAAAAGCCTTACCCCGGGGCAAATATACCACATCCATACCATATGCCACGACTTGACAAGACCCAACCGTGGACCAAAGCCATTTAGGATACTTGAGATAAGGCTTGCAAGCATCGCCAGTAGTAAAGCATCCTGCCGCCGTACGAAGGACGCCACAAGCGAAGCTAGTCCGTAAATACCTAAATATGTACACGTCAGTTTTCCAGATATCTCGAAAGGGGTCTGATTACTAACAGAAGAAATAAACCGCGTTTAGCAAGAACAGGGTGTGAAACGGGATCACGGGAGTTGCGAGAATCATGTAAAATGTCGTGAAATGCAAGGATGATACGAGGATGCGAGGCCAGGTGGCAATGTCCTTCCCAATAAAATAAGCGCTGGCTGAATGACCTGAATGAACCTCTTGGTAGAAAATAAGCTCTGATACGAAAGATTCGGTCAGTAGTGTGGGTGACAATCAATTATGTAAAAGCTTTACTTACTCTCCTCTGCAATTGTCTTTATCCCAGCGGGTGCAGCTGCGAGACCTAACAAATAATCAGAAACGCCAGTTATTGATTTCAGACTTTGGTTTGGACACGGCTTTGTGGAGTGATAAGGGGGTGACGCACTGATTGACAAGCTGCAAAGAAGGCCCACCGCAGGGACGAAGACATAGTCGACTGCACTTGATAAGGGCTCAAAAGGTGGTCGAAAATATCCCTGGAATAGGTGTCCCTTGCGTTCGTATATTGCTAGGCCCAGAAGAAGACCAGCGGTTGCTCCGGTGACCATTTCTAAGAGAATACTGAACACCTGCCGACGTTGTTGCTTTGCACCACAAAGCGTATATAGAAGTACCTGACGATACCAAGGCGCCTTGTATTTACCGAAGTTCTTTTTCAACTCTGATGCACGTCGAAAATTGCCGACCATAGAGTTTTTCGAAGAAGTCGGCCAGTCATCGACCTGACTATCAGTGTGTCGAGAAGAGGGCCAGGGGAATTCTGAGCATAATTGCGGATCGGTGATCACATCCATCATATTGTCAGCAGGATTGTATCCGTTGGGATTAGGAGCCTGAAGTTCTCCAAAAAGCGCGTCTAATGGGGCCACCTCTCCCATGTATATCAATTCTCCAAGGTGCAAGAGCAGGATGTCGTCCAGAAGGCGAAATATATCTGCACGTGGCTGATGAACCGAGCAGGCGATGGTGATACCAAAGGTAGAGAGTGTTTTAAGGAGGGTCATTATCGACAAGGCAGCTGTCGCATCGAGTCCAGAAGTTGGTTCGTCCAAAATAAGCGCCATCGGCATTGCAATAATCTCTTTGGCAATGCAAACCCGCTTGCGCTCGCCGCCGGATATACCTCTTTTCTCGACACTTCCCGTAAGCCTATCTTTCACATGAAATAAGCCGATATGTGCGATCACTCCGTCAACATGCAATCTAATATCGTCGTCGTTCAACATCCCTCCAAGCTTTATACGAGCGGAGTGGAGAATATTTTCTCGAACGGTGAGATCCGCCAAGACACAATCATCCTGTGGGACGAAGCCAATCAAATGCTCAAACCTGGAAAGAATCTTAGGATTGAATTCCCTAGCAGTGAAATGGACCTTACTTCAGTGAATTTTCTTGCATCCCATTGATGGCTGTTAACCCGCCCGTTTGCTTGGTTTTTCCTACGAGGATATCGATAAAAGTGGCTAAAGAGAGGGTCAGGTCAGCATTCATACTTCCTTCCATGGGCTAGCTTTACTGCTTACACTTTCCCGCGCCAGATGGCCCCATGATCCCAAACACGCGGCCTTTCCTAATCCTACCTGAAATTCCTTGTAGGATTGGACGAGACACATCACCAAGAGCGTATTGCAATTCATGAAAATCGAATTCTAGGCCTAGCTCGTCCATCCTTCTGTTTTGAACCAGCGGATTAAAAAGAGAGCGTATGTGTGAGCTCTGATGCTCTTTCTCGGCTGTACCATCTTCCCGTACCGGCGGCTCGTTCGCCTTAGACTCGTTACCTGTCACTTCTTCAACGTCGGGGGTTTTTTTGATCTTTCTTTTTGCCAGTTGTGCTCCAATCTGTTTCGATGATCGGTTGAATTTCCAATTCGTTGGAATGAGAGATAATATAACACAAAGCAGGTATATAGCCACCAAAGACACAAATCCAATCAATGAAATTTCTCGCACACTCCCATCGGGGCAAATCGATAAGCTTGTGCATTTTGTTGGATTATGAGTGCCTTGGGGGCAATAGTGGCCACGTGGACACTGAATCTGTTCCCGACCACCAGACGGGCAATAGTAGCCCGGGGAGCAAACGATTGGCTCGTAGATGCCTTGCGGCTCGGGACAGATATTGTGAAAGGGTTGCAGCCGGATGGCCTGACACCTCTGCGTGGGTGGGCAAAAGGCTGGTGGGTTCTCCGCTGTTGTGTTCAGACCTGTCGACCAATGACCAAATTTAGCGATTGGACATATGCGTTACTGATGTCATTTCCATTGAAAAGTGGTCTCGGATAATAAAAAAGAAGGGAGTCAAGAAGTATGTTTACTTACAAAGAAATCCATGACTACACGAGTCAGTATTGGTCAAGGGGATCTGCTGTTGCCCTGAAAGACAAGTTACGTTACCCATCGCGCAAAATCAATAGATTCGGTTGAAGAGGGCTGTCCGGGAGTTTGAAGTGGGAGGCAATTAGTATATCAGATATAATGAAAAACACTGAGGCGAGAGATGAGAAAGAAAGATTGTATCCATGAGGAATTGCTATAGAACAGCTGTATTTATTAGATTTGGCTACCTAGACAGACTCCATTAAGAATATTTGAAAGCTTACGCAAGCGGTATTCTTCCGTGACTTCACATTCTAAGGTTACATTTCGTCATTTTGACTTGCTATCCAAGCACTTATACAACCTTTCAAGAACTTGATCATCTTCTGAGAAATCCCGTTACAAACCTGCTTATGGCATGGCAACGTTGGGATACAACCACCGAAGGCCATTGCCCCTTTATTACAGGGAAATAGAAGATGTCGCTAAACAAACTTAAGCCAAAACAGAATTAAGCCAATTAATTCCATGACAATTCAAAAGCTAGTAAGAAACACATTATATGGCTGAACCCAGCCATGAGGAATGGAATTCTGGTCCACACGGACCCGAACTCCGGATTAGAAAACACAAATTATTCAAAACCCCTTGCCAGGTATGACTCGTTCTCTGGTTGTGTTACATTCTTTCTCAGCTACACTTGTGTTGCCTAGCATGAAAATATTTCACAGCTCAGCTGCCAACACTTTAATCCATTTAAATTCACTTGAATTATTCCTCGATGCGTCTGCTGAGACTGGTCGTGTAAAAGTCCCCACCATAGCAGCCGATTAAGCTGATCCACTGTCCTGCCCCTAGACGGATCTTCGATGCAAAACGTGACTCGACATCCGACGATGGACTCGGAGTGGGCGAATCAAGGTGTTTAAAGGTCCTTCCTTTCGGCTGTATTCAACAGCATCCCGGGCATTGAATAATCGGAATGAGCCGTACTTACCACACACAGCATGACGTACCAAAACCTGTCCTTCGCTCTTCCAGTCACTCTTCCACACAGGCCAGGTGGGAACGCGCCTTGCACTGACAACGCAAGACCACACACTCATTTGCAAGATCTTCATCCTCGGCCAGACAAAACACACAGTGGATGTCGACGACCTCTTCACTCAGGCTACGATTCCAGAGCGTCAAGTCTTGGACACCCGCCCGGATATTAGACCGATGTCAGGATAGCTGGTCGAGCCGGTGAAACGTGCCATGGAACACTGCTGGTCCTTGTACTTACATCACGTCATGGCTGCTGACGTGGAATTTCTCCCTTGAAACAATCGAAACGTCGAAGAATGCACTGTGATGCAGTATGTACCGCTATACCGCTGATCAGTGGGCTGAAAGAGGGATGTCTCATTCTGAATCACTGTTTGCATTCGGTGGGCCGTGCATCTGGACCATGAATTTGCGGAATGGCTAGCTGGCAAATTGCAAGTTGCCTAGGGGCTTTTCGAAGGGCGTGTTGGGTCATGATTGCTTCATGACTGAAGGCTCTGGATACGACATGTGGGATACGTTCTCGCTTAATGTCGTTTTCTCAGGCTCTATTGATACACTGCTAGGAATCATTTAGTGGTTTCCAGGACCTTGAGGCCCAGTTGTAAGGGCAGAGTGACGTATAAAACCCAGTGAACCCAGATGCACCATGTGAGCCCCGCACATCGTATCCCCACTCATTGTGTATGTCCTCGCGCGTGTCCCTGACGAATGTGACTAGAGCTCCCAGGAAACAATCACCGCTTTCCAGGAACAAGATGAGAAGTGTTGGGAACTAGCTAAGTCAAACCTCTTCTGCGCGAGCATGTAATGGCGAAAGAGCAAGATGAAAATCCCACTATGTGCTTTCTGAAACGTATATATATTGTGCTCTCCCTACATGATCACATATACCAGCTCAACAATCTATATCTTCTCCAGCAGATTACATGCAAACCTCGCGATTGACCCGAGACGCTTTTACATTTACTTTTTCATCATGTCCTGGAATCCTGCTCCTCTCCAATGGGTATTGGGCCAAGTATTGGGCGATCCCTTGCACCGTGAGCGGTGCATATGGGTAGGAGATGACGGGAATCACTGTCAAAACACCGTGCCGCTTGACTCCCGGATAAATGGAGTATTGTGCTTTCAGCTGTCCCTGAACCCCCCTTTCGCGTATCCATCAGCACAGAGATTTTCATTGGCTTCAAAGCAGTTATTTTGCTTTGCGAATCAGCTTGACAACATCGAGCCTTTGATTCGTTTGTCTGCTTGGTAGGGGTATCGCAGAGTAAGGGTCCGGGTTGGACCAGCAAGAGCGCTCCCTGGAAAATCACAAAACCCACTTAATTCTTGTCAGCTCGAGGTAATATCTTTGGTTCCAATTTTCAAATGGATTCGGTTTGGTCGGGGTCGAAAGCTGAGTGATTCGTAGAGTAGAATCTGAGGCATACGATTTATCTTCGAGCCACTCCCTAGTCATGTTTGACGAGAAGCAAAGGTTTTCCCGAGTCAGCCCAAGACTGGCAGATTCAAGTCATGAGGAAAAATTGTTTCTACGATCTTGTTCTTACACAATTGACATTGATTTCAAAAACTATCTGCTAGAATTGGCAGACTGGCCATCGAGTTGGAGCAGATAGGGAGAGGATGGGTCGGGCTCAAAGAGAGTATACTTTCTGCGAGGAAGGTGCAGGACAGAAGGTATAGCTTCTAGAACGTTCCATAGGCCAGATAGAGAAAGCAGCAGCTTCCCACTCGACGGAGGACCAATCAATCTCTTGCGAGGGCAACTGAACCGCGGATCAGATCTCTGTTGCCAAAACTCTGTGTGATATTCCAATTACTCTCCTGCCCCAGCTATACCTCCTAAGTAACAAAGACCGCTGTTCCATCGGGCCCTAACGGCCGTCAGGTTTGGGTTTGTGGATCGTGTCTGGAACCTTGCAGATCCTTCCGATTTCTTCTGCGGGACACAAATAGAACCTCCGTGATCTACTGTCCCGTGGGTCGTCCCTGGGATCTGCATCGCGGAACCGTACCTGCGTCTGTCTAAATTCAGGCGCGGTGTTTGATTGGTCCGTTGGGTGCTATTTGTGTCCAGGGCCTCGTCAATGTGACAGTAGCGCTGCAATCTCGCGAGGAATCTCGCGAGGTGGGTGGCGATCACGAGGACCTAGCTTGTGAGCCATGGTAGCGGAAATAACTCATTTTATTGTCCTGGAAACTGGACTCGGGTTTATTCTAGGTTTCCAACAAGGTCTAGAATTTGATTATCTATCAAAGGAAAACAACCGATACCCTGGATTTGGGAGTATGTGCATAGTGTCTGTACCGACAGTTAGCAGAAGTATTAGGGGAGGCAACATCAGTTGGTTGCGAGCAACAAAGAAAAGTACCGTTCGAGTAGCGTGAAACTGGAAATAAGCAGAGGATTGTAGTGGGATCAGTGGGAGGCACGTCCTATGGCCAACAGCCGGTACAATCGAATGTCACTGTCTGCCACAGTCTCCAACCCATTATTGCGGCATCTGTTGAAGCACTTCAACCTTCATGAAAGAAACGGTGAACGTGGCTAGAACGGGCAGATGGAGAGTGCCACCGCGTTGAGCGATTTAATTGCAATTTCAATGATATGTAGAAATCAGATTTTTGCGGCGTTACTTTCTGCTCAACAGGTGATGATAATGGTTCACCACGCTCAACGTACGATTTTGAGAGGAATGAGTCCAGGCTAGACTTGACTCTGTAGGCCACAAAGTCTCCAGACATCAGTTCAACGTCGTTGCGATCGCTTCAACGCCTACCAACGAAGTAATTTTTCTCGCTACCATCTGCGCAATTGGTTCCTTGGTAGAGACGTAGCCAAAAAATTATAAAAGGGTCCAGGTTCCCAGCCGAAAAAAATCAGGACTTCGGTCTTCACACTCCGATGTGTCATGGTGTCCCTCTTTTGCCTGCGGGCTTGGGAGGTTCCGTGACCACGGCTATCGCTGCCACGAGCCCAGCGATGTAAGAATGTGCTCCCTCGCTGCCATGAGCCCCGCGAGTGTAAGAATGTGCTCCCTCGCTGCCCTGAGCCCCGCGAGCGTAAAGATGTGCTCCCTCGTTGCCCTGAGCCCCGCGAGTGTAAAAAGGTGCTTCGCAGGACGAGCTCTGCGTCAACAAATGTGCTTCGTAGGGAATTGCTGCGTTAACAAGGCCTCTAGCGATGTGCAGGCACCTCTTCGCGGTGCTAGGGACCAGTATTCGAGAATTCAAGAGTACTCGAAGAAGCAAAGATCTGCGCAACATCTGATGATGTGTTTCGTATTTCGAAGGGTCATCATTGGAGAAATAAAATGAGCCCTAGATAGATGCAAACCAATTATCAGAATCGTAAATTCAAGATTCAACCTTCGTTATCGGGCGCCGTGTTCCCAACCCTCTTGTCTTCATGGTTTGCGGTCGGCTAGTCTTCCCGCCGCAATAAAATGCATCTGCCATCAGGGCGTAGAGCGAACAAAATGGTGAGTATTTTGGTGCGTCGCGGATATGTTGATGAGCTTTGATGGTCGTTAATGGTCGTTAATGGTCGTTGATGAGCGTTGATGAGCGTTGATGAGCGTTGATGAGTGTTGATGAGCGTTGTTGTAGGCAACAACATTGAAGCAAACAGTGTAGATGATGGATTCGCGAGTCGGTATGCTGTTCCGAAGAAGTGAAAGTCCCATCTGCTTCGATTTTGGGATTGAGATATGTCTAAAGTAATCCACAACGAAAGTTCCAAATCTGTCAGTCCGAATATCTGGAGTTTCATGGTTAGTGTGGTCAATTCCACAACGTATTAAGATAGTTAAATATCGGTGTACCTTTCAATATCCAGGTAAGGAATTCAATAGACGGGCTTCGAGAGGAAACTTCCTCTTGATGATCGTTAAGATTGTCTTGTACCAGTGCTCTCGAATTGTCAGCCAATATCCTTATGACAGATAAGGCTGTCTCGAGCACACTGCGTCTGTCTATAGTGAGACCTGGTAGATGGTATAGTTGATGCTGAATCGTCATTTGCGCATCATAGAAAGGATCATATAGGACCCCGGTTTTGGACCCACGAGGATCATTAAAATTACGACTTGGGACAGAGCGGAGGACTGGTAAGACTTCCTCTGTCGAGTTACCTTCATCAAACCGATGATCAGGTGTTGCTCTTCGTCGGGAACTGCGGGAAGAGCTGCGGGAGTGACCACCCTGAGGGCGAGTGCTCAGACACTTGCGCTTCACAGCCCGCCGACGATTACAGGAGATGCCTGCATCCTGGCAATTGCCACATGGATCGTGCCTGTCGCACCGGACCTGTATATCTGCTCAGCAAATTGCAGATTGAATATATTTTTTTCCCTCAAGGGTTATTATTACCTTACGCGAATGACAGAGGTCACACTACAGTTGCCATTAGTATCGGGTGAAGTTGGATTTGTTTCAGGTGAGGTTCGTACCACTAATTGAGGCCCCTGTCTCTCGACTGAAAGCTCTGTCGACATACTTTTTATTTCGACTGTTTTGAAATGATGAAGTTATCACTCTGTGAGAGTGGAGTAAAATATTGGTGAATCCAGGCCTGGGAGGTACTAAAAATAATAAAGAAGTACACTGAATCAGAAATTTCCTCCCGGGGAGCGAACTGACTCCTGGGCAGAATAGGCAACATTAATGGGTTCCGCAGCGGATCAAAAATCCCTTGGCACCCATATATTGTCCAATAAGTCTGTTACAACTGTCGGAGGCGAATAGTCTGGGGTACTTTAGGGGTAGTACGGAGTACTTAGAATCTCTAGGGAGATAGGTAGGTTTCATAAGAATTAGTACATACATACATGTATGTACTGCATAAGTAGGGGTTTATTATTCTCCGGTTAACCGTCCACATGTACAAGTATGACATAACTAACTATATCGATAGTTAACTAACTAACTAACTATCAATACTGCTCGTATGACATAATACGGCGATCTAATATAAAATCTTCGCATATTTACAGTGAACGATGCATAGTGGAAGGATATCATTTGTAAAAAGACTTCAATTCAGTTACAGTATGTATCGAATCCGATTTTTCAAGTCGGGCGGTAGCTACACGCCATCTTCGGGATTACACGTCACTTGTGCCTCCTGCGAGACTTTTTCTGCAGAATCCCGTCCTTCATGCATGTGAAATCAAGTTTTAAATACCGCATATGAGCCATAAAGCAAGAGGGAGGGGACGGTATATCAGACTGGTGTGCTGATCCATGCCATAAGGCCAATTTACAGTATGCACTACACAGGAAGTGGGGCAAGGGACCAGCAAGTGGAAATGAGAGAGCATCGGTAAACATCTGAAACCAGATGATTAAGGGTTCATTCTAAGAGGCATAGCGAGAACCATGCCGATAGTCGATAGTCTCCGTCTTATTTGAATATGTTTTAGAAATATAGTCAAGCTTCAAAGCTCTCGCAAAGGCAGAATACTATACGCTCAACCGAAAATAATTCATGTGCTATAAGTTCTTGATAGACAAATTGATCTTAAGCTCAACAAAGCACCTTACCAAAAACAATACAAAGCTGATCAGTGGAATTGCCTTTTCCCAATGAATATACTTCACACACTTGTGATCCTTCGCCTTAGCTGGCATGTGACCGAGCCATTTAGATTGAACACTAGCCCTGCAAGGTTCACATCGACAGAAAATTGAACTTTTCGACATTAGATGCAAGACCGGCATACATCTCCTTCCTAACATGCAGAAGGTAGTTGGCTATCTGCTCATCTGTATGATATGTTTGGTTGTAACAGGCCCTGATAGACAATCTATTACCAAAGGTCTGGATTCCAAGATAAATTCGTTCGTCGGTTGGCACCGCAGCCATCCAGAAGTCCCGGATTTTGAAAGAGCCGTAGGTTTTCGGGAAGGCTTTCGAGATATTCCCAATGAAGCTAGGTAGTATTCCCTTGAAATATTCTTGAGATAGTACTGATGCCGATTTCTGCAAATATGGCACCATCGTGATGAGAGCAGCAGACTTTCGATGAGCCAGAGCCTCGTATCCATTTTTAATACGCAAGGCTGTACGTTGAAACTCATCCGACATCGGCACCTGTATGGGCCAAAAGCCAATCCGCAGAGCAGCAGCTCTCGAATTGGCATTGGGAGGCGAGTCGGTACATCTTTCTCGAAAACTGAAAGTAAGAACGGTTGAGTGGACCATACTGTCAGAACTGGGACTAATTCTCTTTCCGGCATGGAGAAGTGCTGCATGCAAGAAAGCAGTAATCCCCAAATTCATTTTTTTGGCTTGATCCAGAAGCTCAGATGTTTCGTTTTCGGAAAACTCGAGAGATTGTGTCTTGCCCGCTCCAGGTGGGTGTTTGTTATAAATGGAAGGAATTTCAAAAGCCTCTCCATCTGCTTGTGGCTGGGGCAACGATGAGATAAGATTCGAAGACCAAGAATCTTCCAAGGCTGTTATTCCCGCAGCGTCAAATGCACCAGAAGCAAGGTTATGAACTTCCGCACCCCAAGGTTCATTCACAGTTTTCCCACCCGAGTTCAAGCGCTGGATCTCAGTAAAGAGATCTTGTAGCAGATTCACAACTGCTTGTCCATCCCCATGCATGTGATCCATGCGGAGAATTAGCTTTTGCTTGCCAGGGAAGTAGTATAGCACAGGCGACTGGGCAGCAGGTGCGATACCGAGGTCTTGACAGCCTTGTACTTCAGTATGCGAATCCCACTCTTTAACGATGAAAGTCTTCGCCAGCCAATTATCAATATCCGCTTGGCTTTTGAGAGGCATGTACCGGAATTCCTTTTGGCCAACTTCAGTGGCAAGAGTAGGATGGAGATAACGTAGTCTGATCCATGCTTTTTTGATCGTCTCCAGATTGGTATTTGCATCGTTATTTAAAGTTTCCATGCCAACGCTGGCCACGATGTCGAGGCTCCGAGATTCTGGTCTGGCCGGGTCATGACAAAAGAATGAAAACATCTGTTCAAAAGAATCAAATGGCCTGATATACTGGCCGTTGTTGACCTCTTTCCATTTGACTGATTTTGAACAAGGTTCCGTGGAGCTTTCACTCTGGCTTGTTGTGACTGGTATTTTTCCAGTAGTGTTTGCAAAAGTTGAAAAACGAGTTGGGATCGCTTTGATAGTAGGAACTTTCTTGAAAATCGCAAAACGCAGTGATCTCAGCAGGACAGACATGGTGTAAAATGGTTGAAAGGAAAGTCGTATCAGATAAATAGAAATATTTATATGTCGAATCCTGCAAGGATCTATCCTCATTGCCATTGAGCAAAAGGTACCGCAAGCACATCTTCTTGCAGAGCTTTCACCACGGTCATGAGACCGAGACCCTAATTTTCTACCAATCCAAAGACAGGAAGCTATCAGGTTTCGTGTTTATCACATTCCATTGCGGCATTTTGGCCTGCCAGCACGCCAACTTGCATGAGACTTGGTAAGCCCAACATGGGTTTGGAAAGTGGCAACGAATCAGCTAGAAGGCATAGAAGAAGATCAGGTTGCTAAAGGGGGTTGGGTTGCTTCAAGTGTGCTACGACATTTACTCGGTGTAACCATGATTATTGTCATGCAAGTTCAACTCAATATAGTAGTGCCGGATAGCACTTGTCCGAACGATAGGCATGTCACTTCCCGTCCTAACCGAAAGGGCACCCAATCGGCACGCTAACTTACATGATACTTGGTAAACCGAACAGCATGAACGCAACAACGGCTACTGGCCACGACAGGCCTCGGTGAGGCTCTAAGTTCGCTTAGGAAGCGGCACACGATACATGTACATAGAGAGATATATATAGTTGTTGTAGCCTGCATATCGTTCGCGAGATTGAAACTCTGGATTGAGGTACAAGTGTGATAATAAAGTAGAACTATCTGAGGGCAGATACCGCTATTTGTAGTGAAGGTTGCTGCCTGCATCCTGCCTACTCCTGTAGCTGCCTATTAGGCAGCTACTTCAACCCGTGATCTGAGATTAAACTCGCAAGGGGTCAGGGTAAATGAATTCTACTACTACTACTACTACTACTACTACTGTATTGACTGAGACTGTTGGTTGTCAAGTGAGCTCTAGGAATGACATTCCATTGCTGTTACCTCCACCTTTCCTCAAAATCATGAAGGTTTCTGCGCAAGAAGCGTTATTGGACGCCAATGGTATGCTGCCCCCTGTTTGACTGCTGCCAACAATTCCAGCAAGAGGTCCCTGCACCTGCTGTCATCTGGAGTCTGTGATTCCTGGAAGGTCTCCGTAGTGCGAAAGATCTCGACGTGCCCCGCCAAATACGTAGTGGTGCAGAGGGGAACAAGGCCAGGAGGAATCTCTCCGATTTCACTGGCCAAAACATCCAAGCCCTGTTGTCTGACGTGTTCCTGTATTTTGCCAAGCCAGCTGGGCAAATCTGTCAGTGCTATTTTTTAAAAAGCTTTGATCATAACAAAGAGCGTTGGCTTACTCGAAGTGAAGTCCTTGAGCCGTAAAGGTCGATCTCGCCACTCGTGCAAACTGTTCTGCTATTTCTCCTCGAAGCACATTTTTCCCGGTGTCGGCGTCCTCCCATTGAAGGTAACCGCCAGGTTCTATACACATCAGTTTGTTTAGTCACATTTACTTGAAATATTTGATTGTCGGCTTACTCAGGAGACCTGCTGCATGTCGTATGAGTCGAGTTGGGTCATTGTTTCTCACGATACAACACCAAAATCGTAGGTGGACCACGTCATATTTGTTAGCGAGATGGTCAGGCACATCTCCAAAGGCATCAAGCTTGTTAAAGGTTATATTCGCCGGCCAAATATCTTGGTGGGGAAATTGCTCCTCAGACAAGTCAAAGCCATCTAGTTGGGCGCTTTGGGGAAGCTGAGATGCTAAATCTAGAAGCCACATTCTGACAAAGCCACGCGAGATCAGTTAGTTCAGAGTTAACGTAAGCAAGGTTAAGATACTAACCCCGTACCTGTGCCAATCTCCGCGATCTTCATCTCTCGAGATCTGGATATCGCAGGATTCAATACATAGCCGTTATATATTCTCCAGAGAAGGTGCTGTGCATCCAGCCTTGGCCAATCAAACAAGTTAACTTCTAGATCCTCGATCGGATCTATAATCGCCGTACGAACCTGATTGAACCATGTAGGTCTCGTCGGAGTAAATAATCGTCTATCATTGTGAAAGGATCGCGGATTGGAATATAGAATTCAATGGGAGGTTGGCCCAACGCGGTGGATGATACTTAATTTACAAAAACCATGCCCGTCCGATGGATTTATATATCCAGACATGGCTTGGGACTCGGCAATAATTTGCAGGATGATCATTACCCGAGATATCGCGAGCATCTGCTAGAGGTCAAAGTTGGAAATCCATGACAGCATTGTAATACCATCTTTGTTGGTTTGCAGGATGATCATCTACTGGTGTCACAATATCTACCCCTCCGAGTAACACGAGCAGCAGTCGTGCCCGAGGCCAGATCCGCTATAGGCCCTATCAAATATTTTCGAGTAGCACAGGGTTTTCAATATCCCCATTTATCGTCCTGATTGGCTGGAATATATATCCGAGATTGACAGTCTTATAGCCGTGCAGAGGTTCGAAGAATCTCATCTCACTGCGACATTAATGACGTCATTGGGTTCTGGTTACACGAAGCAAAAGTACAGACGGCGAAGACGCGTCCTCATTCGGAATCAAAGTGGTACAATATGGTAGATTGGCATACGTACGAATTCAGTTGTCTATCTTGACTGGTATGTTAAAAAGGTGCCTATAAAACCCTAAGAAACAGCGAAGAAAAGGGTGCCCTATATGAAAGCTGAAAACGCTCTGACAGGGGCGACTTTGATCAATTAACAGAGAAAGAGCGAGTTTGCGACTCGGATAAAGTATGCTATATGTGCCGGTACAGTAGCTGTCGCATATTTGCAAACTTTTTCAATCCGCGGACTACGTTTGTATCCAGTAGTTAGCCCATTAGGAAGTCCGCCACAAAATCACATTGCAAATCTCCCGGACTGGCCCTCGTCATTGAATTTGATCAATTGGTTCTCGGTTGGACTTATCTGTAGCCCACGTGGCCTATGTAGCTAATCAAAAGGAGGGAGATAAATTGCTCAGCCTGCAGGCGTCCACAATTGGAACTAACGATATTGCACTGTTGCATCACAATGCTTTTCAGTGGTGGACTTATTTACTTGAGTGTGGCTTCAATAAGGAATTGATCGACGATATACTCGTGGCCCTCTTTGCTGTAGAGATATACGTCCGCTTGGAGTGTAGCTTTGATCCATCGGAAAGCCTCCTGATTGCATCATCTACCTACTATCAAGCAGATCAGTTCACCCCCTTACGTGGTGAGTGAATTTAGGCCGCTTCCCCGCTCAAGCGAGCAACACGACCACTGTGGATCTACCGCTGAGAGGTAACACGTATCTGTGCTCACAGAGCATAAATAGTAGACAGATATCTACTTAGGCGCAGGAAGGAGACCAATCTCCAGCATTGCTTCTTTTCTCAATATGGTGGACTACAGTACCCTAGAAACCATTGATCTCTTTGAGTATCTGTGTATCCGAATCAAGCAGATTGGGATCCGATCCGTTCACGGAGTACCGGGTAAGTGATAGGAGATTCCTAACTTTCCCAAGCAACGTTCCTCTCTTGGCTTAACTCACGACGAGACGACAGGCGACTTCAACTTGGTAGCTTTGGATTACGTGGAGAAGTGTGGCCTACGATGGGTTGGGAACTGCAATGAACTCAATGCTGGTAAGATGGACTTCATAATTCATCCTTTCACTCGGACTCCGGAATTTCTCTAATCATGAACATTGGAATATGCAGGCTACGCAGCGGACGGATATGCGCGTATCAATGGGATTTCTGCGTTGATGACGGTCATGGGAGTTGGAGAGCTGTCCGCATTAAATGCTATAGCTGGATCCTTTGCTGAATATGTCCCTGTGATTCATATTGTTGGCAAGCCCAGCCAGCATGCCCAACGAGAGCAGCTCTGTCTGCATCATACTCTGGGTGATGGTGATTTCACGTCTTTTGAGGAAATGAGCCGCAGGGTCTCTTGTATGACAGCTAGTATCGACTGCCCACAGACAGCGCCTGCCTTGATTGATGAAGCCATCCGAGCATGTTGGGTCCAAAGCCGTCCTGTTTTCATCTTTATTGCCTCTGACATGGTCCGTGTTCCGATAGCACGCCATCTATTAAGCAGCTGTCCACCGCTGGGTCGGACGATGCCTCATGACGACATTCTTCAACATGGACGGTTGGTGGACACTGTGATAAATGAGATTCAGCAGGCGACCAATCCGGTGATATTGGTCGGGGGATATGGAACTTTACATGGCGCCAAAAGAGAGCTTGATGGGTTTCTGAGCTCGGTTGAGCTTCCTATTTTGGCGGCAGCCTCCGGGCTAGGGATTGTGGACGCAAATCTTCCAAACTACACCGGGCTATATGTGGGCTCGTGTTCAAGCCCGAATGTACTTGAGCTGATGCACTCTGTCGACCTGGTCATTGGCATAGGAAACATTCAGTCGGATCTTAGTACCTCGGGATTCAGCGGAAATGTGGACCATACCAGGCTGATTGAGATCGAAAGGACGAAAGCCAAGGTCAAGGGCCACAGTTTCACGAACGTGCACATCAACAATCTCCTGATCGCATTGACAGCGAAGCTCGGTATTAAGCCCGTGGCTGGCTCTGCCTGTGTCGATTATACTCATCAGCACAAACCCCTTATTACCATTCTCCCCAAGACTGATATAAACGTCCCCACTCCGAGGAGAAGCACTGAAAAAAGCGCTCAAAATCAATTCCTAGATTATTTTCGAGATTCAGCAAGATTCTTTCGGGCCTTATGGCTCATACGTCCACAGATGCCCCGACATGTGTCTGAGGCGCACAACCCTATTACACACGATTGGTTCTGGGGTCGCCTAGGGGAATGGCTTCGAGAAGGGGACATCATTCTAACAGAAACAGGCACCGCAAGCTTTGGAATATGGAACACAACCCTTCCCCTTGATGCTATCTTCCTCGCGCAGTACTTGTGGTCGAGCATCGGATACACAATTGGGGCTTGCCAAGGAGCAGCCCTGGCAGCGCGGGATTCCTCTAACCCACAAAGACGTACCATTCTTTTCATTGGCGATGGAAGCCTCCAGTGTGGATGCCAGGAACTAAGTACCATTGTTCGCCACAGCCTTACACCTATCATGTGAGTATGCAAATATTACGAAGGGCATCATTGATGATGAAGATTGGGTTGCTTTTGTATTGATACCTCGCAGTTTTGTCATATGCAACAGTGGATACACCGTCGAGCGCTTGATACATGGCGAACGGCAGGTTTACAACGACATCCAACCATGGGTTCACCGGCTTCTTCCTGCGGCGTTTGGTGCAGCGCCGGGGGCTTATCAGACTCACCGTGTCGAGACAAGAGAGCATCTCCAGGCACTATGGAGCTGCGAGAGCTTCAGCGACTGTTCAGTTCTCCAGGTAAGTGTATAGATCACGATTGTTCAATTTCCCTGGTTCCGTTTCCTTGTTTCTGGTGTATGTAATGTACACTAATAGTGTGCAGCTTATCGAGCTGTGTGTTGCACAGAATAATGCACCATCCAATTTGGTTGCATTAGCTCGGTCACTGAAACAGCGGAATGCGTAACCTCACACCCACCCAATGTCTACAAACATCCGTCTTTCTTTTGTTTCTCCAGATAAAGATAATGTGCCTTTTAGTCATGCCGTTGCACATTCACATAACCAATACATCCGCTCAACCCTGTTCCCCTTCCTCGATCAAGGTAGACATTACCCCCAAGTTCATCATCGCCTGAATATGGTCTGCTGTCTTTCGTCTGTAGAAGGGCCCGCTGATCCTACCTGCCAGCCCACAGCAACGTTAGGCGATGTTAACAATGAACAAGTAGGAGAATTGGGCTTAAACACATTGCCATTTTTCCATGGCAAGGTTCTTGCATCTCCTATTGTTATTCATCAGATTTATTGTCCATACTGAGCCCTAAAGCTATGATAGACCGTGGTTCCAAGGCAGTGTCTCCTGGTGCCCGATAGGGCAACTTTCAGTTCGCTGCTACCAACACTCAAGGCTCTGTGTACGACAGGTGGCATACGTACTTTGTACGTGAAGGTGAAATCGGTCTCCCGGGGGCCATTAAAGCACCTGTGGGAACCATTTGGCAGTTCCCAAGGATTTGAGGTTCCTGTGGTCCAGACATTCTCTAAGCGGGCCTATACAGTTGTCAAGAACTTTATGCTGCTGTGTGATTGATACGCCCCTCTCCGCGAAATGACGGGGTACACTCCTAGCTGACCACGTAATATAGCTGAGGCGACTATATAGAGGCCTCCGCACGTCCAACTTTCACACCTCACCCTCATCTACATTGCGTCTGCCGCCTAGCTCCAATCCGCCGTCTAATCATGCTCTGTATCAATTCTTTGTTACCGAAATTGCCGAGGAGCTAATAAATCACAGCCAAATATCGGACGCCTCCCCAACGAATTTTTGCTGTGGATTGTGGCGCATTTGGACGGCAGTGTGATAGTTGCCCTCGCAAAATCATGCACAAATCTTTATTTTAGACTGCAGTCCAGCAATCTGTTGCACCTGGCCGCCAAAACCGACAACGTTGTTCTTGCAGAGGCCCTACTTCATTCAGTACAAAGCCAACGCCAATGCCTTTTACCAGGGAAAAACTGCTTTTATGAGAGCGCTACAACACTCTTCCGCTGCTGTACGTGAGCTCTTGCTGAATAGTCGAGAGATAGACATCAACATTCAAAACCAAGCACGGGACATCGCCCTGGAGTAGGCCATCCACTACGGAACTTTTTCCACCGTCAAGAGCGTGCTAAAACAACCCAACGCCAGAGTGGACATCAAACACAAGCACAGCCGAACGGCGCTCCACCTAGCGGTCTTTGCAGGTAGAATAGGGTTCGTGCATAAACATCGGATGTCTTCGTATTAAAATGGTCAACTGCACGGCGTCGCTGGCCTAGCGTTCTGATCCTCAGAATTTTTATTTTTTTGCAATTATTGATTTCACAATTAGTATACCTCCAAATCTAGGAGATAAAGATTTGAAGAATGGACATGTTGAAGGGCTCTGGATTTCGGGAGAGTGAATCAAACAGATTGGGAATTAAAAGGGAGTAGTTTTATTGGGGTTGCCTCACGTGACATCTACACCGACATTACTGAGGGCTTCTTCCCTCATACAACTGCCTCACAAGAGTCAGTTGCTTGCCTCTGGTGGTAGCTCGTCATCTCACGCAGTCAAGACTCGATTTTGTGTTTCACGTCAAAAAAAAAGTATAATATGATTTCTTACGTGGTTCCTGATCGTTCCGGCAGGCATATCAGTTTTTCTTCTCCTCACCAAACCTCCTATTTTCAAACGCCTACCATGCCGCAAATCCGCGGTCAAAAAAGCTCAGAAATTAGTTGAGCAGGAAGGCAGAATCCTGCTGGCAATTAAAGCTATTACAAATGGCCGGTTTACCTCCGTTGCTGCTGCTGCTCGCACTTTCGAAGTCCCGCGGTCTACGCTACAAGACCGGATGAAAGAGATTACTAGTTGGTCTGACACAAGGGTTATAGGCCATGAATTTCTCCAATTAGAAGAGGAATCAATCCAGGATTGGTTAATCTCTATGGATCATAGAGGTGCTGCTCTTACAATCGCTATGTTGAGAGATATGGCCAATTTACTACTCAAAAACCGTGGAGGTCATACCCCCCAGACCGTTAGCAAGAATTGGCCAACACAATACATTAAACGATATTCCGAGCTTTCTAGTCGATTCTCTCGTAGATATGACTATAAACGCGCCTTGATGGAAGATCCAAATACCATTATTGAGTGGTTTAAACTTGTTGAGAAAATGATTGCTCAATATGGTATCACTTCGGATGATATCTATAATTTTGACGAATCGGGGTTTGCGATGGGAGTTAGTGCGACGAGGAAAGTTATTACACAGTCATTTTATACCGGTCGGAGGGGCGTTTTACAAGCTGGCAATCGTGAATAGGTGACTGTTATTGAAACAATTTACGCCTCCGGGCGAGCGCTCCCACCATACGTTATCTTTAAAGGCAAAAACTTTATGGTACGATGGTTTAACGACCTTCCAAAACGTTGGACTCTTAACGTTAGTCCAAACGGCTAGACGAGCTATGAAATTGGCGTTGATTAGCTCTAAAAACACTTCATTCCGTATGTGAAAAGTCAGATGAAAGGGAAATATTGTCTTTTAGTCCTTGATGGCCACGATAGTCATCTCACAGCCACATTCGACAAGATTTGCTAGGAAAACAACACTATACCAATATATATGCCTCCGCATACCTCTCATCTTTTGCAGCCTTTGATATTGGTTGTTTTGCTGTGTCAAAGCGCTCTCACGGAAGGCGGGTTGCGGAATACACCCGATTAGGCATCGATTCTATCGAGAAAGATGACTTCCTTGGTATCTTTCTAGCGGCTCGTAACGATTCATTCAAAGAGTCTATCGTTCAAAGCGCCTTCGCAGCTACTAGTTTAGTGCCATTAGACCCCGATCGGGTGCTATTAAAGCTTAACTTTCGCCTTCAATCTCCGCCTCTACAGGATCGACCAGTTTCAAAAGGTTCAACACAGGCAGCAATATCTCTACTGGTATCCCTCAGACGACTAGGCCACCAGAATAACGCAAATCTAGGCTCAGTTCTGGTCTAAATTCAGCTGCTAACAAGACCTCTTCGCCTACAAAACGTGATCTTCAACAGTTTTACAATATGTCGGTTAAGCTAGTTCATGAGCATATCTTGATGCGGGATGAAATCAAGCGTTTACGGGAGGGGAATAGAAAGAAGACAAAAAGAGGGAAAAACCAAAGAAGCAAATACCTACCATAGGTAGTTTAATAGAGCTTCCAGATCCTTCTACCAATGTTGGTGGTGAGGAAGGTGGTAGTGTGAGATATATATCTGATCCTACACCTGCTCTAGAACCCCAGATTGAACCTACACTTCCTGTTTTGGCCCCTATACGTCGGCAAATTACATGTTCTCAATGCGGAGGAAAGGGGCATACTTTTACTAAATGCCCGCAGAAGGTTTAAATTGAATTCAATGGTGTTTTGGTGGTTGAAATGGCGTTTGAAAATTATAAAAAATTTGAAGTTTTGATGGGGTGCCGGAACGCGAGGAAAATCAAAATATTAGGTAATGTCATCTGATTAGTTCGATAGCGTATGCAGACATCATTGGTTCGTTGTTACTCTTTTCTCCGCCCTGGAGTAGCATATCGGGGCGGTCCGAAATCGCGTTGTTGCCCCGCTATTTACTCCGATTAGATGGAGGTAAATTAGTACAAGCATTAACTAGCCTGGTATTTGCTATTCATGATGCCAAGATCCCTGAGTGAAATCAGTTTGGACATACCAAATTAACTCTAGCACACAATCGCGATTTGATCGATATACCAGTGATCCGCACGCCCAGAGGAAAGCTAGATATGTGTGGATAATGATATGGCTCTACAACCTCAAGGAAAAAGTACATGCTCAAGTTAACAGGAAAGTTGCAAGCCCAAAGTTAATCGGTATCAATATCCTATCCGGTTTTATTTGCGTAGTAAATTCGTTCGGTGCCAAGACGATGGACACCTTCTGCATGCCTGCGAAGATGCATCCTTTTCGAGTTATTTCAGCAGTGGCCAGAGTTTCATTTGTGGCTGGGCTGTATGGGACTAGTTGGGGCGACTTAGCTCCCTAGCAACATTATTGCGAAGAGCCACACTGCTCCCTCACTGATCGCACCCAAATATTTCCATATTTCCGATTTTCGTTCCAGTGAAGAGCAGAGGAAAACATGCAGTAGTGTACCTTTACGAACAACAATCCGTCATCTCCAAGTACATTGGACACGAACGTGGTCCGACGACGTCACCTGGCGCCTTTTCAGGTTCAAAAACCATCCCAAGCCTCGGCGATGTCGTCGCGAAATCTTGGGATCATCGCAAAAGTATGAAGTCGGCTGAGACAGTCAGGTCGGTCAAATGAGCCGAGAACTTATATCCTGGCCTCCTTGGTTGGGCAATGAGGCGAACGCCATCACTCCAGGCAAGCAAGACTCTCATTCACCCTTTGCGCCCTTGAGCCGGATTTGAATACCCGCTGCGCAGGTATCCAGAAAGAGTGTAGGGAGAATTCACCAGGATGTGCGGAAGCTCGACAACCGATTGACTTGTGAGGAGACGGATCTACAGGTCGGCGTAGCGGACCAATGGCAGAAATGCCTCATCTCGAGCATAATGGTTGAGGCGAAGGGACAGGCGAGGTGGGGAAAGATCGACTCTACGAACTGTCGTTCGAACTTCTAAGCTATCCACCTTGGGGAAGGCCAAGCCATGAATAATCTCCGTTGAGAGACATGTCTGCACGTCGCTATATCTGTAAGCGATGGAGTCTGTCCTGAGGCCCAGGTTGAGGTACATGACCCGAGTACCCTTTCCGGTCCGCAAGTCCAGGTATATTTGGGATTACCTATTGACGATGATCGATAGAGCGCAATGTCTTTGTGTAACAGACATGTAGCTATTACAGCAAGTCAAGTACATGCAAGGATATGGCAATAGCCTCCTCAATAAACTT